TCAGACTCCGCAGGCCCTGTACACTGCTGTAGTTGCGCGCTACTCCTCCCCGGCCTCAGCTGCACTAGGCCGCCTATCGCTTCCCTACCTGTTCCCCGACCTGTCCGCCTTCCAAACAGTCGCTGACCTCATCACTCACCTCCGCACTAGTGATGCCCGCTTCCGTGCAGCCATGCCCGCTGAGTTTCTTGCCTCCAACCCTCCCCCGCTCTGGCTCACTCTCTACCACCTAGTCACCCGCCTCCCTGACACTCTGCGTACAGTCAGGGACCACTTCCTAGCTCGCTGCCCCACTGAGCTCACCATTACCGCCCTAGAGAAGGAACTACTTGCAGCTAAGAAGAGTATTGTAGCTGTAGGTACCTCTCGTGGCGACCCCCGCACCCCTTTCTTCGAGGGGTGTTCCCCCTCCCCCCTGCTCCCCTCTGTCGCCTCTGCTGCTGCTGTCGACCTCCTTGGTGCTGAGCAGGTCGGCTCTGCGTCCGCTCCCAGCGGGCGTCGCAGCGGCAAGGGCAAGGGAGGCAAGGGCGGTGGGGGTGACGGCGGGGGAGGCAGTGGTGGGGGTGGTGGCGGCGGTGGGGGTGGTGGCGGGGCTGGAGGGGCTAGTGGCAGCGGTGGGGGTGGTGGAGGCAGCGGCGGCGGCGGTGGCCGGGGTGGGGGCGGTGGTGGTGGCGGCAGTGGACGTGGAGGCGGCAGGGGCGGTGGTTGTCGTGGTGGAGGCGGCGGTGGTGGTCGTGGAGGCTCTGGCACTGGCCAGAGCGCGCAGCACCCTCAGTCCTCCCAGGAGCTTCGTGAGTGGTACTTACAGCACGGGGGTGGGGGGGGTAGCCTTAGCTGCACGTACGTCATCCGCACTGGTCGCCGCAAGGGACAGACGTGCGGGAGGGCGCACACTGCGCAGCGCTGCTTCTCTCGCCTAGATGACGCGTGGCGTGCTCGGTTTCCTGACGCTCCTGAGCTCCCTCAGTGGGCTGATCTCCTCAAGAAGGATATCGATATCTATGCTCTTGATTTTGATGTTATTCTCAAAGCCATGTATGCATTGACTATTAGTGGAGAGGAGGACCAGTACCTGTGTGTTCCGCCTGACCCAGGCATCCGCACGAGTGAGGCTGCCGCCCTAGGTGCTTGCGTGTCTGCTGCCCCAGGTGCTAGTGAGGCTACTGCTCTAGGTGCCTGTGTGTCCGCCACCCCAGGTACTACTGAGTCCACTGAGGCACTACACACCTTCACTCTAGACTCAGGCGCTTCGCACTGTTTCTTTCGTGACCGCACTGCTCTTGAGCCCCTTGCTCGACCAGTCGCTGTCTCGCTCGCCGACCCCTCTGGGGGTCCGGTCATTGCGACCTCCTCCACTGTCCTTCCTTGTCCTGCTGTCCCGTCGGGCACACTGTCAGGTCTCCACCTCCCCTCGTTCTCTACAAACTTGGTGGCGGGTTGTGCGCTTCAGGATGGGGGTGTTCACCAGTTCACCCCTGCCTACGAGCGCGTGACACACTGCACGTGTGCTCGGACGGGCCGTCACCTGGCTACCTTCACTCGGCAGCCGGGGTCGGACCTGTACACACTGACCACTGAGTCCCCTCAGGTAGCGGCGTCTGCGTCTGCGTCTGCGTCAGGTCAGCTGTCTGCCCCCTGCTCGTGTCGCTCTCTAGCGCACAAGACTGTCCTCTTGCACCACCGACTTGGTCACCCGTCAGTGCAGCGCCTTCGGGGCATGCACTCCCGGTACCTTGTCTCTGGTCTTCCTCGGGTACTTCCTCCCCTCCCACCCTCCCTTGCTCCTCCTTGTCTTCCCTGTGTCGAGGGGCGGCAGCGCGCTGCCCCTCACTCCTCCTCGTTCCCCGCGACGACTGCTCCTGTGCAGACGCTCCACATGGACGTGTGGGGCCCAGCCCGCGTCCGTGGTCAGGGCCAGGAGAGGTACTTCTTGATCGTCGTTGACGACTACTCGCGCTACACCACGGTCTTCCCCTTGCGCACCAAGGGTGAAGTCCCTGATGTCCTGATCCCTTGGATCAGCAGAGCACGTCTTTAGCTGCGAGAGCGTTTTCGCTCGGAGTTTCCTATCCTGCGCTTGCACTTTGACAGAGGTGGCGAGTTCTCCTCCGACCTCTTGGCAGCCTACTGTGCCGAGCACGGCATTCGCCAGTCGTTCACGCTTCCGGCCTCTCCACAGCAGAATGGGGTTGCTGAGCGCCGCATTGGCTTGGTCATGGAGGTCGCTCGTACCTCCTTAGTCCACGCGGCTGCCCCCCACTTTCTGTGGCCGTTTGCGGTCCGGTACGCTGCGCATCAGCTGAACCTCTGGCCCCGTGTCTCCGCTCCGGAGACCTCGCCCACACTGCTGTGGACGGGGGAGGTTGGCGATGCGTCACGCTTCCGTGTCTGGGGATCCCGAGCTTTTGTTCGCGACACGTCTGCGGACAAGCTCTCCTCCCGCACTGCTCCCTGTGTCTTTCTTGGCTTTGTCCCGGATGCATCTGGCTGGCAGTTTTAGCACCCCGCCTCGCACCGCGTCTTCCCCTCTCAGGACGTTAATTTTGACGAGTCCGTGCCCTTCTACCGCCTCTTCCCCTACCGCACTGCCCCGCTCCCTCCCCCGCCTCTCTTCCTCGCGCCAGGTGCTGCAGTGGTAGACCCCCTTCCCCCTCAGGGTGCCGCTCCCTCAGGTGTCTCTCAGGTAGACCCGGTTGAGCCTGCCGAGGTAGCTGTCGACTCGCGTCCTGCTAGAGGTGCTGAGCCTGAGCGTGCGGAGCCTGAGCGTGCGGAGCCTGAGCGGGTGGAGCATGGGGGTGCTGAGTCTGGGGGTGCTGAGTCTGGGGGTGCTGAGACTGGGGGTGCTGAGCCTGGGGGTGCTGGGTCTGTGGGTACTGAGCCTGGCGTTGCTGAGTCTGGGGGTGCTGAGCCTGGTGGTGTTGCAGTTGACTGTGAGGCGCCTGGAGGACCTCCCTCTTCGCAGCAGCTACGTGAGTGGTACTCACGGTACTGCAGCCTCCGGCGGGGTGCGTCTCGGGCTCGTGGTGCTACTGGAGCTGGTACTCGTGTTTCCCCACCACGGCGGGAGCCCTCTTCCCCACAGCTTCGAGAGTGGTACGCTCGGCACATCAGTCTCCGGAGTGGAGCTGCTGGTGCTGGGGTCCCCGGAGTTGACGCTGCTGAGGGTGCTGCGGACCCTGGTGCTGGAGGTGCTACTGCTGCTGGCGGTGCTGCTAGAGGTGCTGCTCGTACTGAGGACCCGGGCGTTGGAGCTGCTGCGGGTGCTGCGGGCCCTGCTGCTGGAGGTGCTGCTGCTGCTGGAGGTGCTGCTGGTGCTGCTGGAGGTGCTGTTGCTGCCGCTGGAGTGGAGGACCCGGAGGGTGGAGCTTCTACTGGTGCTGAGGACCCTGCCGCTGGTGTCTCTGCTGGTTCGGGAGTTGCTGCACGGCCACGGCCGTACTTCGTTCCGCTCCTTCAGCAGGTCCTTGGTCAGACTCCTCCTCCTTGTCCTCCTCTCGCCTTAGAGTGTCCGCCGTCTGTCCAGTCACAGCCACAGTTACCGCCTGCCTCCCCACTCCCTGTGCCTACTCCTTATACTGGTCCGACTGGAGGTCTTGCTGAGAGACGTGAGCCTGCGTCACGTCCTGTGTCACCTGCGTCTCGTCGAGCGTCGCCTGTTCGTGCTGCTACCACTGGTAGTCGTGTCCAGCGTCAGCGTCCTCCTGCTGTCCCAGGCACTCACCAGATGGCACTTTGTCAGTCCACTGCTCCGCAGCGTGTCGCTCTCCCGTCGCCTCCTGCGTCCTCTCTTCCTGCTCTTGCTGACCCGGAGTCAGACACCCTTCGCGCTGCCAGTCCTACTGTCACACGTCTCCTGGCTACAGTTGTCACTGACCCTTCTTTTGAGTCCGCTGCTGCGTCTGCCTTAGTCACTGAGCTTGTCGACTTTGCAGCTGCGTGTCGTCTAGACTACGCTGCGAGTCTTGTTACTGAGTCTGAGTCTGTCTGTCCTCCGTCCGTCGGGGGTGAGTGTGCTCTTGGCACGGACGTTCTTGAGGACAGGCAGGAGGAGTTTGGTTGCCTTGCCGCTGCTTTGCCCCATCTCGTGTCCATGCTTGTTGCCCCTGAGGGAGACCCGGATGCACCAGACATCCCGACCCCACGCTCTTACGCAGAGGCGATGGCCGGTCCCTACTCCTCTCAGTGGCAGTCAGCCATGGACACAGAGATGGCTTCCTGGAAGTCCACTGGCACCTACGTCGACGAGGTTCCCCCACCTGGGGCGAACATCGTCAGTGGCATGTGGATTTTCAGGGTGAAGCGGCCGCCGGGCTCTCAGCCCGTCTTCAAGGCGCGTTACGTTGCACGAGGCTTCAGTCAGCGAGAGGGAGTTGACTTCTTCCAGACCATCTCCCCGACCCCGAAGATGACCACTCTTCGGGTTCAGCTACACGTCGCCGCTCAGCGTGACTACGAGCTCCACTCTCTTGACTTAAGCACAGCTTTCTTGCAGGGCAGCCTGCACGAGGAGATCTGGCTGCGCCGCCCACCTGGCTTCACTGGGTCGTTCCCTCCTGGTACCCAGTGGAGCCTCTGGCGGCCAGTCTACGGTCTCCGCGAGGCGCCTCGTGAGTGGCACGACACACTGAGGACTACACTTGCGGCTCTTGGGTTCGCTCCTTCTACTGCTGACCCGTCGCTGTTTCTACGCACCGACCCCTCACTGCCGCCGTTCTACATTCTCGTGTACGTCGACGACTTGGTCTTTGCCACTTCTGACACAGCTGGTCTCGCTCACGTGAAGTCCGAGCTGCAGAAGAGACACACCTGCACAGACCTGGGTGAACTGACAAGCTATCTTGGCTTGCGGATCACCCGGGACAGAGCACGGCGCACCATCACCTTGACTCAGTCACACATAGTGCAGCAGGTCCTTCAGCGCTTCGGCTTCACGTACTCCTCGCCTCAGTCCACTCCTCTGCCTACGGGACACTCGCTCTCAGCTCTGCCTTTGGATGAGTCCGTAGAGCCGAGTGGTCCGTATCCAGAGCTTGTGGGCTGCCTCATGTACCTGATGACCTGCACTCGACCTGACCTTGCATACCCTCTCAGCATCTTAGCACGCTATGTCGCTCCCGGCCGTCACCGGAAGGAGCACATGGATGCAGCTAAGAGGGTGTTGCGCTACTTGTGCAGTACGTCGGGCATGGGGCTAGTGCTTGGAGGGCGAGACCGGCCTGTTCTCACTGGGCACTCAGACGCTTCTTGGGCAGACGACCAGGCTACTCAGCGGTCGTCTCAGGGTTACACCTTCAGTCTTGGCTCTGGCTCTGTCTCTTGGCGTTCTACTCGTTCTTCTTCTGTTCTCAGCTCCAGCTGTGAGGCTGAGATCTACGCCACGGCCATGGCTGCCCAGGAGCTTCGCTGGCTCACCTACCTGCTGACTGACCTTGGAGAGCAGCCTCGTTCTCCTCCAGTGCTGTACGTCGACAACAAGGCAACCATAGCCTTGTGTCAGGAGCACAGACTGGAGCACAGGACGAAGCACATTGCTCTGCGTTACTTTCTAGCTCGAGAGCTACAACAGCGTGGTCAGCTTCTTCTGCGTTACGTGGCCACTGAGGCCAACACTGCTGATGTGTTCACGAAGGCGCTTCCGCTTGTTGACCATCAGCGTTCTTGCACTCTTCTAGGCCTTGTGCCGACTGTTCCTCACTTGCTTACTTCTTGACTTTGGCTGTACTGTGATCATTATATATATATACCTGCATGTTTGCCCTTGCTAGGTTGTGATCATTGTACCTCTTGCTCTATTATAAAACTGCATGTGAACTGGTCTTGTGACCACTTGCTTGTGCTCGGAATTTGTGTGGAATCCTCGAGGTCTACCCTGAGCTTGTTTGCCTTGCTTTGCCTTGACTGGTCTTGTGACCCCTAGGTCTCCCCACTTTGCCTATGGGGGTGTGTCAAACATATATGTTTGTGTGGTTCTAGGCTGTAGTGGGTCACACCATAGGGGGTACACCAGATTAGGATTTCATATTTGTAATGTTGTTCCTGCTAGTCACATTCATTCCTGTTTCTCATTCTGACAACTGCTTCTGCGCAACAACAATGCCAGCCACAACACCTGGTACCTGGAACGCTGCTGCAGCCAGCACATGGTGGGATCCGTTCGCTACATCTCGAACATCAGCCGCGCTTCCGCCACCTATGTTACCGTCGCCAACAACGAACAATTGCATGCAAACGCGCAAGGCATCATGGTGCTGCAAGCTCGAGCCAGCAACACACACATCACCTTCAATGACCTACTCTGCATGTGGAACATGCACTTCAACCTACTGTCGGTGGCAGAAATCTCCGACTACATAGTCATGCTCACCACCGATCCTTACACCCGCGACCTCATTCCCACCTTCGCTCCTCCTGACTCGCCCGCCGAGGCGCACGAATACCTCGGAAGAGCGTGATCGATCAACGAAGTCTACATCCTCGATTTTGACATACCTAACTGCAAAGCATCGTCGGACGAACTCGTGGATCTGTCCCCTGAGAGTTTTCGCGCATGAACGTAGAATCCTGGAAGCATCCGGGCAGATGACCTTAGATTCGCCGCAGTCCTCAACCTTGTGAGATAAACCTGCACCAACCCGGACCCAACGGATTCTGCACCACCTGCTTGACACCCATAGCGAGCCGTACAGAAGAGGTTGAGAGAGAACTTGCGACAACTCAAGAAGCAGAAAGTGCCGAAGCCGAACCTAACGGCATGAAAGAAATGGAGCTAGCTCATTGCATCTTCGGCACCGGAAATGAAAACCTTGCCGTGGTGGAGCAAGAGCGGCCAACACCTGCGGCGGAAACTCTCCGCTGGATCCTGGAAGAAGCCACGATCAGAACATTCGACGAAGAGAATCGACCGCGCCCTTACCCGCGCGATGTTTACCGCAACATTGACAAGGCGTGGAAAGAACCTGACGCACCAATCGAGCTCAGCGTTAAGGAGGAGGAGGAGAAGGCAGAGGCGGAGAAGAAGGAAAAGCTGTATCAAGAACGCATTGCGGCAGTCTAGGACAAGGAGTCAGCAGGACACGGTGGCTGGGGAGACGACGACAACACTGGAGCAACATGGGATCCGCCACTGGCGCATCCGGTACCGTTCAAGGATGGGGAAATGGCTGCTGGGGCGATACAGAAGGATGGGGAGTCGGCAAAGGCAAACTCGCCCAAGAAAAATTCGAGAAAGCAGAGAGAGAGATGGCCGCCGAGCGAGCCCCACCATGGGTTACAATCCCCCTCGGCCGCCCCCCACGCAATCTGCCATCACCACCTCGCTCACCTCGCTCCTAGGAATCCCCTTGGTCAAAGATTGAGGAGGGGAAGGTACCAGCAACTCCGCCCCGCAACGCAGTCGGACCAATCTCCCGCCTATATCCATTCGCTCATCAAAGGCACCATAGCTCCTCTAAAAATCATCCTCGACCGAAACTTCTTCGTGCACAATCTCACCACAGCACC